TAAACTATATTCCTTTTTTAGTGGTCAAATTACAGGGTTCGATATTAATTTTTTATATCAGTAGACTCGTCACACCAGTTCTTTAAGAAATTACAAGCCCTGACCATATTTTCAAGTAGCCCTGACCTTAAAATGACATATGAAGCATACTTTTTTGTGGAAATTACCATTGTTTTCTATTGAAATGCTACTCAGCTATATTATGTACCTTTTCAATCACAGTTGTGTGTCAAGGTTTTATGTATATGTGTGAGCTTAGATTCTTCTACAGTAGGTGTCTGTGACTTGTTGGCAATATATTTGGACAATAAATGGACAGCACACAATCCACATTATAAAATAGTATATATTCAAAACAAGTCAAATGTATGTACAAAATTCTTTACACTATGGGAAATCATAGTTTTATCTAAAACTCTAAATAATTCTCTTTTCTTGTCAATAATCCACACAGGCTTATTCAATTACTTTAGAATCCAATTGACAAGACAAATTATTTTTCTCTACTCTTATCACAATAGTATCAGTGAATAATTCACTGATGTTACCTCATGGTTTACCACAGTTGTATCCTGAACTTTAAATAATTGTCTCCTTTTCGTCACACACACAGTTGGACTCAATTACTTTAGAACATCCTTTGACAAATTATTCTCCTAACCTCAGTTAAACTGTGAAACTCACTTTAAATATTTCCTGTTATGGGTAAACTAACAATTACTCAGTCTAGATCTGTCTAATTATCTCTCACTTGACTTTTCTCTACTTAACTTGCACTCGCTAGTCACCTCTATATATATATATATATATATATATATATACGTTGTTCACTTTTCTCAAACTTAATCTTTTTTCACTGCTATGGAATGTAACCTAACAATACATACATACAACATGTCAAAAGTACTAAAAAACAATCTTTATTATGTACATACTTATATTCATCCAAGCTAGTTATTTCTTGAATAAAGTGCCTAACATCCAAAAATCCTTCTGTCTTCCAGCTTTTGTAAATTAGGATCTGCTGAAGATTTTGGCTCTCAATCAACTACTAGCTATGGAAACTTAGTAAATTCTTGAGTATTAAAGGATGAAGACTGGAAACTTTTCATGTTCAAATCACACAAGTATACACATTATATATACATATAGTGTACAAAATGTCGTTGGCAATAAACATATGAAAGTTTTTGTTGATATTTGTAAATTTGCAACTCAAGCACCAAGCCAGAATGAATTATCGAATACCACTTCAAAAAGAAAATGAAAAAGTTTATTTTTCATTTCTTTCCATACATTTTGTAAAATTCAAAATATAGCTTACCTTATCATTGACAGCATTTGTTTTTCTTTCTTTCTGATACTGAGATGAGGACTACATTTAATCTTTTTTCTTCATAGATGGAAATCCTCTGCATTTCTTTGGTGAACATGGCATTTTTAACCAGTTTAGACACTCAGCTGTCTTTGATCTTTGAAGAATGATGGTAAGCAATGGAAGTAAGATCACTTCAAAACAGAATCCTTTATATTAGTGTGATGGGAGAAGGGAGAGAACTTCCTTGAGGAACCAAGAAATGGTCAACTTTGGCAATTGTTTACACTGTATAGTCGTAGCAATAAAAATGCACTTTGATTTATTTGTTTGTTGTTGAGATCAAAGCTACATAATGGCCTATCTATGTTCTGCCCACCATAGGTATTGAAACATAAAGTTTTGTGTTATAAGCCTTCAGACATATCAATGAACTATTGGGGGGCAAAACGAACTTTGAACACGACAGGGAGTTAGTCATAATTTTATTCACAACTTGGAGTATGGCACAAAAGTAAAGAAAGTACAATGCATATTTGTTAGGGTTCATTAACTTTACTTTGCTTGTATTAGATGTTTGACAATACAAGTATAGATATGAAATCCTCTTAAGATGTGAGATATCATTTCAATGAATCACTCAATAAAATATATTTAGAAATACAAAAGAGAATGTCATCAGTTTTAAGTACAGCCTAAAACATGCTGACTTCAGAATCAATTTGATACCATCCTAAAAATATATTCAAAGTATGTGGCAAAATCATGTTTAAGATTATTTTTTGCATCTGTTTGCAAACATCTATCACTGAGTTTAAGTTTGATAATCTTTTACTTTATTATAGTTGCGTGAGGTTTATAATGAATGAATTGGCATTCAAACTGAAACTGACCTATTGGTGTTTTGTGGGGATATCACAAAAATGTTTTTAACAGAGAACATGTCAGTGTTATGAAAATCATGAGAAAAAGCCCCTGAATATGCTCATATTTTGAAACCAAAAAGAAACAAAATACAAAGATACATTTTATACTCACACATATTGATCTATTTCAGCTGGTCATGAAGAGTACATATAAAAATATAAAACACAATGAATAAGCTTTTATTAATTTTTCAAAAACAATGCAAACGCGATAGTAGAGATGGCATTTGCATCATCCCTACATAATAGCTATTATGTAGGGATGATGCAAATGCCATTCCTACTATCTGGTTTGCATTGGTTTTGAAGGATTGATATTAGCCATCCCTACATTTACTTGCATTTTCAAAAAGTTTTTCTTGTTTGCTTGTTTTTTAATGCAGTGTTTCAACAGGCATAGGAGGGTTGTATTTAAAACGTGGTTATACACCACATTCTAAATACAATGAGGTTCCAACTGTAATATTTATTTTTTATCTATTATTAAGCTTTTTAAAGGAACACCAAATTTCTATAAGAAAACTAACTTCAAGGGGTAATGATAACATCATTTAAATTAGAATTTTTTTAAAAATTACTAACAGTTATTAATAATACTTATAAAAGCAGATACTCCATTTCAAATTACATCACCTCAGTGAAATTGGTTGACACCATTGTTTTGGTTTTTTGAGTTATGTAATAAAAAAGGGCAGAGGAAAGAACAAGAAATTCAAACTTTTTGTTATGATATTTACAAACATTCTTAGAACTTGTGACTCAGTCATTACATAGATATTGTTATATAAGGAAACACTGTATAGTATTGTAAAGTTCTGATGACCTGTTAAGGAGATATTTAAAATACCAATCTGAGCCATCCCTACATAGGCAGTGCTACTGCCTGCCTGATAATGAACTGGTTTCTATTACGGAGGAAGTGTAAGAAGTATTATAGTGAACAATTAAAATGATGTTTTATGTTTTCATCTGATTATATGAATTATATTATTGTTTGTAGAAAAATTTTGTTACAATTATCTGTTTTGATTTTATAGAGAGGGCACTGTATGCATTCAGTGTTGTTTGGTAAAACATCTGATATAAACTGTATGAATTAGTATTATTTGATGAAATGTAATGTCCACATTTTCAGTTTTGAATGTTTTATGTTTTTATCTAATTATATGAATTATATTATTGTTTGTAGAAAAATTCTGTATTACAATTATCTGTTTTGATTTTGGAGAGAAGGCACTGTATGCATTCAGTGTTGTTTGGTAAAACATCTGATATAAACTGTATGAATTAGTATTATTTGATGAAATGTAATGTCCACATTTTCAGTTTTGATTAAGAGTTAGATACATAGTACAGTAAGTGAAGTTTATGGGAGTCTCATAGTCTTTTCAGCGAGTCAATCAAGAGACCAGTATCAGAGAAATAACTTGATTGTGTAGCCTTAAAACTAAACAGTTAGGCCAGATTCGAGTACTGTTTAGGAAAGTGAAATATTTTGTACTACTGGCTAATAAACCAGTTATTCAAATCAATACATAGACTGTTCATTGTTATTCTAATTGGACCAGCATAAGAATTTGGTGCCAAGAGTGGGATCTTTCAACTTGCCTTTTTCAAGTTTAAAAAAGGAGAGACTATTTGAAGTAGCCCAATGAGCATGCACCAAGCATGCAGACTAGAGCAATGAAAGTTGCACAAGTTGAAAATGAAGATATGCTTGCATAGTTGAATCAATTAATGCTGCAAATAAGCCAACAGCCTATAGTGATAAATCAACAGTGGTAGCATAACAGTCAACCAGCAAATGAATGAATTTAACATAAAGCTAGATGAAAAGCTTGATCAACAGGTACTAATTACAAATCAACAAATGCAGCAGGTTTGTGAAAAGATAGGTAAATAAACTGTAAAGATAAATGAGCAAAGGCAGTAGGCTAATGAATGGATAGATCAACAGGCACCAATAAAAAAATCAGCAAATAAAGGAGTTTACTCAAAAGGTGAATTACCAAGCAAAAACAATGACAAATAAAATAAATAAGATTGATCAACAAAATCAAACACTAGAATTTTTGAAAATTGTCATGCAAGAGCAAAAATAAAAAAATTAGAAGCCTTAGAAAAACAAACCCAACAGAGTAAAGACTTATCAAAAAATCATAGCATAATATTTTGGGACAACAAGAGATCTATTGGTCCAACTAGTCTGTCCCATCCTCTAAACTAAACTAAAACTATCAAAATAAAAAAAAAAAACTCCTATAGTTATCAAACTTTCTCTTAGACTCACTTTACAGTTCCACTGCTATCTATGTATTTCTGTAAATGGTCCCAGTGGCTAACAACCAAAATCTTCAGTTTCTTACCCACACTAAAGTACTGTACATGCTTCGCCATCTACCAATAGAAATGTGAACTTATAAAATGTGTTTTGGAAAATAATTTAGTTAGCCTCCATTTTATCTCATTCATTATGGTAGTTTCATACTTTGTATAGATATTACAGAACCAAAAATATGACTTGAATTTTTGGATTGTTTCTGGGACTTCCAAGATGGTGCTACCCATTAAATAAGCTGTCATTGTGCTGAAGACTTTTTGCAGGAATTATTTGCTGATGAGGACTCTGAATGTGATCAAGTTAGTGATAATTCAGATAAAGAAGATGTACAGATTTCTGAGGAATATAATATAGAATTCATAACAGAAGCAAACCAACTGCATGTTATCATATTACAAAAACAGAAATGACAACTTACCTGCTCTTGAAACAGCTACAGAACCAATAACAATCAAGTCTACTTTCAGTTTGGTGTCTAATGATACTGGAGTACTGTGCTGTTTAACACCCTGTTTGTGTAGATATAATACAAACATATTAAATTTCCAAATTACAAAATTAAGTTTTGTGTTTTATCAGGAGAATACAATGAAAACTTTTTTAAAGTTATTTTCTGGTAACTTGTGCAAGCATTTCTATTTTTTCTAACTACTTACTTTTTTTTATAAACTGTAATTTGACATTTAATAAACAAAATGACAGGGAAAAAAAAATTCATAACACCTATAATCAGAGGAATCATAAAAGTTTAAAAATGAAAAAACAGCCTAAAACTTAAAATCAGTTTGAGAATCATAACTTATTTAACCCATAGTAGCCTACTGTTGTTTGGTTCTACAAGTATTTAAAAAATACTCCACTTTATGGTTTGATTTTAGAATGCAATTGTACAAACTTTGAAAAATTAGATATAGTAAAGCATTTTTCACAAATACGTTTGAAATATGAAGTCATTTGGGGGTAAGGTGGCCTTTGAATGTTTACAAGTCTAAAAACATACATTATCTATTTGTTAATTTTTTTCTTCACCAAAATGTGTAAATCAAACCATTCTGAAGATAGCCCTAATAATTTACACTAAAACATCAATCACAGTTGATTGGAATAATCAAAAACATTAATTTTGACTAGCTGATTAGTTTTCATAACAACCTACTTAATCATAATTTTGATTAATCAATTAGTTTATGTAGCATGAAACAATGTAATCAATGCTCATAGGTAACTGATTACCCAGCTCTAGTCCCGATATGGATTGCTATTTTAAGCATGTTTAACCCTATCACTACAGGTAATTCAAAGTGCACATGTCACGATCTTTCACAGTTACATTCAAAATTTAATTAAACTACTTTACTATCGATGTATATCAATAACTTGGCATTAAAATATAGTTTGTTGTTCAAATTTTAAAATTAAACAAGTTTTAATTTCTTTAAAAAGATATACAAAAATAAATAATCTAGCTTCACTTTCTGTATTGCAAGACACTTCTTCAGTTAGAACTGCTTATTTCTACATTTACTGTTACCCCTACTTGCATGCCACCGTTGGAGCTCTGCTTGATCAGGTACAGAAATTATTTTAAGCCATTTCTATCAGATAAATTGTATATATATGTTTTAAGACATTCTATTTTATATGCTTGGAAATATTTCATATCCTAAATTGGTAAACTGAATTAAAAATAATAATTTCTAAGACCATTATGTTGAATTAGGGTTATATTTTAACACTGACTTGGCTTGCACGAGTGCAAAAACTCGAGGACAACAAGACTTCAGAAGTAAGTACTAAATTCCTTGTGATCAATGACAGCACACACCAAGTGAGAGCATTTATGTAATTCAATATGAGTGTGCTGGTAACTCGATCCATGCTTTACACAAAGTTGTCAAGCATAATAAATAAGTATCAACCTAGTTTGAGAAAGTCAAAGTTCAACTGTAAATAAAAAAACAACTAAATGAAAAATATATTAGCTGAGGATGTAAAATTAAATATTTTGTAATTGTCTGTTATAATGTTTACAGATTATAGAATTAAAAAAAAGAGTAACTTAAATTCATTTCATATTTTCTTGTGGTGGTTATAATGTTGGTGAAATCAACCGAGTCCATATGGAGTTAGGGTAGAGAATCGTTTGCGTTTGTTTGTAGTTAAGCACAGAGCTACACAATGGGCTATCTGTGCTCTGCCCACCATGGGTATCGAAACCTGATTTCTAGCGTTTTAAGTCCGCTTTACTATATACATAATATATATATATTTAAAAAAACAAAAAACGTTTGATATTCATTTAGGAGGTTTTAAAACAGGGGTGGCCAAACCCCAGCCCACATGCGGCCCGCGATGTCTTTTTCTGCGGCCCGCCTAAGATTTATAAAATTCACCGTATTACGGCCCATGCATGATACTTAGACAGCCCTGCGGCCTTTTCATTATTTTTAATTTGCTCGAGGGATTTGTGCGTCATCATTTGATAATTTCACTTGTTGTGTTCGCGCGAGTAGCGAGGAGGCGATAACTCACTCTTTCATTCCATCGGGCTTCGGCTGAGGCAATTTGAGCCATCCTTTCATTGTCATCTCGATGACCTTAGCAACAGCGGTCTGACTGGAGTAACGATTAAAATTCAAACTGAGAGCAACAAGCTAGTCGTAAATGATTCTATCTCGATAATCTGACAGAATTGGGTGAACATAAGATTCCTTGATCGAATGTGGACTGATTTTGCTGATCGAAGTGTCAAATGAAAGGTCCCTTCATTCTCTATTCACTGATGTAAAAATTATTATCCAAACGTCTTTTCCACCAAAGAAACTCGATTGACAAAAAATTATGGAATTTTTGTTTTTGGTCTCTAGAGAACACCTAATGGTGCAATATCAAAAGTAAAGTACATCATATAAAAGCCAAGAAAGTTTTCTATCTATTGATATAAGATTCTTTGTGACCACAGCCAAATGAGAGCTGTATCAGAGCATTGAAAAATACTAAGCTCAGGATGTCAGGGTGGCTACTTTTTTACCAGCACTGTATTTTAAAGTTGAATGCGGCCCGGGTCGACTCCGGTAATCAAAATCTGGCCCGTGGCACAAAAAAGGTTGGCTACTCATGTTCTAGAGGATCTTGTTGAACCAATTGCACCCTACCCCAGCTAACGGCTCTAATTTCAAACACTACGTAGAAACATATACAGTGTTAAAATCATAAATAATATTCAACGTTAAACTGGTACACAATTTTATTTAGGCCTATCTATGGCCTTCAAAAAGTTGGCGACCCTACATGTTTTCCGAGGAAGACGTTGTAATGTCGAAACATGTAGAGTCGCGAACTTTTTTTAGGCCCT